CACTCGATCCCCTCATCCAGATCATCAATTATATCTCATCCAGATATTCAATTATCTAGACCCAGGTGGCTGTTTTCACAGATCTCAAGGCCATCATCCAGTGGGGCTTTAGCATTAGCTTCACATTCAGGAGGAGATGGATCTGGAAGGGCAGAGATGGTGGGTGCCGGAATGAATGAGAGATTTCCTTTTGTTAATGGACCTTGAGCTGTCACCTGCTCTGGACCCTCCATTGGAAATCTCAAGGAACTGTTGGGATCCTGGGCTCCCACTTCATGTCTCATTTACTGCCAGAATTTAGGGACTGCAGAGAGTCACACAGGTTTTATATGATCTCACTCCTCAGCACTTGTACCTCTCTCCCTGTTTTGAAACTCTGCCAGCAAAAGCTTTTGTTGTGCCGCTGTTTGAGAGCCTTACAATACTGGATACTTAAATTTACTGAAGCAATTCTCCCATGCAGTGTGGAGTATCCAAATGTGAATTTACCAGGCTAGAAAACAGATTTCTCCTTTGCTTTTAGCTTCCTGTGGTGCAGTCCATAGCTCCTCTGAATGGCCCGAAGGCTGGGGGAACTAGAGTGACCATCAGAGGCAGCAGGCTGGATGTCGGCTCTGAGCTCCGTGTCCTCGTCAATACCTCCAGGCAGTGCACTGACCTCAGGTGGGACTGGGTCTGGGGGCTGGCACTGAACTGGTGACAAGAGCCCAAGTGTTGGGAGGTATGATATTGTCCCCCAGGAGATCAGGAAGAGCTGGGGCACCATTGCATGCTGCAGCTAGCCTTGGAGCCAGCATAGCATCCCCACCAGCCCGCCTGGCTGCCGCCTGCTCCATTTCCAGCACCCTGTCAGCCTGGTATCCCCAGAGTGGTGAGGCAGAGCTGTGGTGCGGGTGCCTGACACCAGGATGGGGCAAGTTTCTTTGGCAAAGCGATGATGTTGGTGTTGCTGTGACATGGTGGCAGCAGCCAGCAGCAAAGAAAGTGCTTTTCGCACACCATTCGCAGGACACTGCCAGGCCCCTCGGGTGGTCTGGGACCAGGACCAAAACCCTGGGAGCGAAGCAGACATGGGCTTTGTTCCCAGATCTGCTGGAGGCAGAAGGCACCTGCACACCCACGGTCCTGCTCCTGCGGCAGCTCGCTGGCCAGAAGAAACCCTTCCTCTTCTAT